CAGTTAGAATGATTAGATTGAGGCTATTCGTGACAAAGACAAGTCAAAACAAATCAAGAGAAAAGAGTATAGAAATAAAAACAAATTCTAAAGGCTCTCTTGCAGAGTGTTTTGAAAAGCAGAGATAAAGAAACTGTAACCAAACTTCGAGTAGAAAAAGAAAAAGGAGCAGGAGGAAGAAGAGGGCATTAATGACGGTGACAAGGAGTTCCAGGAGGAGGAGGAGGGAGAAAGAGAGAGAAATAGTAGTGTCCTACAATCTAGAGAACTAGCCTTAGCTTCTGGTTGCTTCCAAAACAATTAGCAACAAAGAAATGACAGAGATGAGACAGAGAAACAACATAAGGACCGTGACTGGTTGCTGGGGAGAGTAAAGCTAGGGTGAACTCGTGTGAAAAGTTGACAGCAGTCTCAGGTGGGGGTGGCAGGTACAGAGATGGGGAGAGCAGACTGTGGACGGGGGACTCTCCTTTCTGCTCACTCCTCTCTCCCGTATTTCCCAGGGAAAGTGACTGGTGGCCTCTGCCACTGGAAGAAAGAGATCAGTGGGAATAGCTTGGCTGCCTGGGAATGTCAGAGTAATATCAGAGCCACGCCCAAGGTGAGATTCTGACAAACACACACACAGGCTGACTAGATGGCTGGGCATTTACTCTTCTGTCCCAATGTCCCCAAAATCCTCATGGATGGCAGATGACCATTTCAAGGTCAGTGGATGATCTCCTTGTGAATGGTGACTGACGGGTCAAAAGAGCTTGTCTTCTTTCAGTGCTGCTTTTTTCCAATAATTTAAAGAGGAATCCTGACTAGAGAACTTTCTCTGTGAAAAGAAAGCAAAAGGGATGCTAAGTAGTGACTCTGGAGTACCTGAGGCTCTCCATCCTAGGGCTCATCCTCACTCTCCTTCATACTCACTGGAGGGACAAAAGCAGACCTCAATCGTACTCCCCTCACCCCCATTATCTGACTGGGCAGCTGATAACCACAAGAGAAACCTGAGTTCACAAGTCAGATTCAGTGGAGACCTGAGGAGTAAAACCACTAAAAAGATACACAACAAACAACACAATGCAGACCACAGACAGATCAACAGCCCAAGATAAGTATACAAAATATAACAAAGATATTCAGAGACATGAGAGAATATTGCTAAAATTAAGAAGGAAGAAGGGGTGCCTGGGAGGCACAGCTGGTAAAATGTCCAACTCTCAGTTTCGGCTCAGGTCGTGATCTCAGGGATGGAGCCCCTCATCAGACTCTATGCCCAGTGAGGAGCCTGCTTCTCCCTCTGCCTCTGCTCCTCCCTATGGCTCATTCTCTCTCATAAATAAGTAAATAAACAAACAAACCTTAAAAAAAAAAGAAAAGAAGGAACGAGAAGAGCAAGAAGCAATCAAAGAAGACAAACGTGTGCCTCTTCTGACAGAAGAATAGGAAATTCATTCAGGACAGCAAGACAAACAGGCACAGTTTTTAAAACATACTTAAAGATAATGGAGAGAGAGCAAGGTCGTAAAGAAGTAGCAGGGGAGCTTGGAGATCTCAGAGAAGATGGGAATTCAGGAAAGTATGCTCAGCATTTAGACTGCTTCTGCCCTGGGAGCTTTTACTGATTCTGGACAAGTCAGCAATATTTGTAATAAGCAAACACTTGAAACAACCAAAATGTCCCTCTCCAATAGAGGGATAACTTCTGATACATTCACACAGTGCAATAGTGCACGGCAGTAAAATGAGTCAGCTTCGATGTTCAACACCCTGGGCACACAGTGGAGCAGGAGGAGAGTTGGTGTGGGTATAAAAAGACCTTGTGAGGGACCCTTGTGGCAACGGAGATGGATCGGTGACAACACCCTAGCTGTGTCATTGTACTACGGATTTGCAAGATGTTACTACTGGAGGAATCTGGATAAATGATACTCAGGATCTGTCTTTTTTCTTACAACTACTTGTGAATCTAGAACGACCTCAAAATAAAAAGTTTAATTTTAAAAATGTATATATAATAGCAAAGGGCTAAGACTAGCCAAGACTTTCTCAAAGAAATAACAAATACAGGGGAAGAAGGAGAAGCAGGTGACCTGAGGACAATCTTTGGAAAACAGTTTGTCTTAAAATCAAACATACTTGGTTCTATACCTCAATGCATCTACTTGATACATATCTTGGAAAAACTTCTCCCAGGTGCATCAGGAAGGACATAAAGAATGTTCACAGTAGCATTTGCAGTAGCACAAAGAAAACTCTGGGCATTTTCTGATGTTCATTTCCTGGTTTCCCTAATGTATGAGGGCAACAGGAGATGGTATCACTGTGAATCTAAAATTATTTTAAATAAAAAAATTTTATCTGGACACATTTTACTGGAAATGGTACAAAAACTGGAGCATACACTCTAATGTTCACGAAATAGCAGTGAAGACAAAAGAACCTCTGCTATATGCGTCAAAAGACTCATCTTAGGAACATAATGTTAAGAAAAATGCAAGTCATAAGAGAGACTATATAGTTTGATGCCTTACATGAAGTTCAAAAGACGCAAACAAAACAAAGTATTGTTGAAGGACATATCCAAATGCGATAATGCCCAAAGAAAAGCCAGAGTTGTGCATTTCTGCCTTGAGGAGGGAGGAAGGGAAAAGGACGCAGGGGAGGGAAATAGCTAGAGACCTCAGAAGTATTGTAGCATTTCATTTCTCCAGCTGGGTGGAATGCCCAATGGGCATTCACAATGATAGGTTTTCTTTATAACTTACATATACATTGTACATATGCAATAAAAAACTTTAACTAACTTAAAAAATAAAGGAATACAAAGATACTATGTGGAAGTAACTCATTCTGGTAGGATTGCCAAACTGAGTGCCAGAGTGGCCACGTTCCACAATGTTTTACCACTGGAAGAAAGCCTGTCTCCTCTAGGGCAGGTTAAGGACAAAACCCCAAATAAGGGGAGACAAATGATGATAAAAGATGGAGAAGGAGGGGGACATGGGGCAGAGCAGACTCGGACTTTCAAGCACAATGACCACATTCTGTGAATAACACCAGTATCAGCTCTAGCTACAAGAGCCTACCTGTCTCCTGTGCTTAAAGTGGGTGGAGCTGGGTTTTTGTTGTTTGAACTGGAAGAATCCTGAGAGTCCCAGAGGCATCCTGGCCCATAGTCAGCCCAGCTGGGTCTCACTTTGAGGCTTCTAGGTGTGCAGAGGGGCGTGGGTCGCATCTATCCCTCGCCTCCTGGCATACCACCAGGACCAGGTGATCAGAGAGGGTATAGAACTTGCCCAGGCTTACCTAAACGATGGCCCTTTTCCTGTCACATTTCAATGGCTTTGTCTTGACACTGACAATGTCCTCGGCACAGGATGTGAAGGTGCAGGAAGACAGCCCCAGATGGCAGCTTGCCTGTAACTCCTCTGGAATTTCAGTGGAGAGACTGCTCAGGGGGAGGAAGGGGGGGCAGCATGGGAGCCTCCTCTCCTTCTAGAGCTTCCTTCAGCCCCAAGCTGGATGCAGTCACCAGAGAGGGCAAGAACCCCCGGAGCAGGAGAGTGAGAGTTTCGAGGGTCCGAGCCTGATGCCAGGCACAGTGGGGGTAGATATCCCAGAGTGCTGGCCTCCAGTTCCTGGGGCTCCCAAGCAAGGGTGGCTCTGAGAAATAGAACAGTTGTTTTGATCTGCATTTTAGACATTCACTCAAACATTCAACAACTATTTACTAAGTTCTCAGGTCCTTGAGATCGTGCAGTGGACCTTCAACAGCTGCTGTCATGGAACTCACCTTCTGGTTTTCAAACAAGCAGTGAGAGAGGGACTTAAGATAAACAAACCAGGGGGATAGGGAGATACCCCAGTCAAGCCACGGACGGCAGAAAGAGGATAACCACTGTCCTTTGGTAATCTCTGGGGGTTGAGTTTGCTTCTCACTCTTCTCTCTCTGTGTGCATGTACATGCACATGCACACACACACACACACACACACACACGCACAGCTTGTTCCCAAATAAATAAATGTTCTTCGAACCGCTATAAAGAAGGAGACCGTGTGACACTAGGATAGTAAGAGGTAGTTTTGTGAAACCTCCATCAATGGGAATGCCTTACTGTTGGGCTGTCCTGGGAGTGCTCATAACACTTGAGCTTCTTGCTCGCACCCACTCACAACTTGTCCCATGTGCCTCAGTGGGCCAGCCGAATGCAGAGGGGAAGAGTGGGAAGCAACCCTGCCGTCCTCTGGGAGCTAATTGTTCAGACACAACTAATTGCCAGGGCAAGCAGTGGCCTTGTCAGCCTGGTGGCCCCAGAGTCAGGAACCCCAGAGCACTGTCCAGAGATGGCCACGCTGATATTCAGGTATCCAAGGGAGCAGATTTAGGACAAAATTATCTGTGGAGGCGGTTGGCTTGAGATTGGTGCACCTTTTCCGGTCCTCCTCTCTTGCTGGCGAGGTCTAACGGGACACCCATGACCTCACAGAGGCGTCCAGAGGAGGGACCTGGATCTAGAGAAGGGAGGGAGGGTTAGAGGAGCCATGGGGTCACAGTCAATTCAGTCTATCCCCCACATGATCCACCACACCCTTGGTCTCCCCCATCCTCCCTTCCTTTCGGTCTTCTGGGTGGGGGAGCGTGCATAGGCGTCACGGGAGGTGGAGGAAGGGACCGGCATCTAGGTTTTAAAAGACCAGAAACAAATGTCCCCTGACAATTTCGTGTCATTTCTCTGGATTCAAAGGAGGGGTCGAGGGGAGTAGGCAAGACAGACGTAGACGGGCAGCGAGAGACGGCCCGGTCCGGGGGTCTCTCGGAAGCCCCGCCAGGCGCTTCTCTCCCGCCGAGTGCGGGTTCCGGGTGGGCGGGCGGACGCCCCCTGCCCCGCAGCGGCGCGGGCCCCGCATGACATCAGAGGCTGGGGAGCGCGCAGAGCGCAGGCGCCGGCGAAGAGGGAGACGGGAGGGGGGCCGCGGCGCGCGGCTCGGGAGAGCGCTCCTCCGCCCCGCGCGCCGTCCCTGCGCCCCGCTCCGCCCGCGCCTCGCTGTCCGTGCCGCGCCTCGGGCGTCCAGAGCGCGCCCCTCGCACCGCAGCCAGCGCCGCCCGCAGCAGCCCAGCCGCAGCCTTCTCCTCCGCCGCCGCCGCCGGACACGCAGCCGCAGGCCGGGGGCCGGGACGCAGCTGGGGAGTCAGGGACGCGCGCAGCCAGCCCTTCCCCCTCCGGCTCCCGCACCGCCGGCCGCCTCCCCTCGCCCTCCTCCTCCCTCCCTGCTCCTTCGCTTCTCCTCCTCCTGCACGGCCCGGCTGCCAGCACCATGTCCGCAGGGGGAGATTTTGGGAACCCACTGAGAAAATTCAAGTTGGTGTTCCTGGGGGAGCAGAGCGGTAAGTACCCCGCTTATTCTCTTGGCTTGGCGCCGAGTCGACCCCCGCCGGCACATCCTCCGCCCCGCTGGGGCCCCGGCCCCGGCCGGGAAAGGCCCCACCAAGCCCCGGTGGAGGGGAGGGACGGGGATGTGGGGGTCGGGACCGGCTCGGGCGGGGCCGGGCCGGGGGGGGGGTGCCGGGGGAAGGATGGAGGGGGCGCTGGGCCCGAGGTGGGGGTGAGGGTGGGAGGTGGGGTGCGGGGCTAGAGCCGCTGCGGGGCTGGAGCGGCAGGGAGGCCGGAGGGCGGCGCCTCGCTGAGCCGCGCCGGCCGGGGCGTGAAGGAGCTGGGCTCGCCCGCTCGCTCGCAATGCGGCACCGGCTGCGGGCGACCGCGCAGGTGGCCAGGAGCCGGCGGGGGCCGGGGGAGGACGGGCTCCCCTCTTCGGAGAATGAGGCGGGGCCGGCGTCTAGCCGGAGGGCTCCCTGCGGACCCTGCCCGGACCCATGTTGAAAGACAGGCACGTCCAGGCCCTGGAGCAGAGGGCCGTGGGGGAAGGCCGGCACCTGTCTCCTGTGGAAAGAGCGGGCGCAGGCTGGAGGGGAACAGGGTGCCTACCTCCCCTGGCCTACGTCGGATTGGGCACGGAAGGTTCTAGACGCTGCCCGGTGCCAGCGTGTGCGAGCGTCTCTCGGGCTCAGGGTCTGGGCGAGGATGGCGAGGGTTCCCTGGTGCGAGGCAGATTTGGGGGATGGTACAGGGGTGCCTCGCACCAAGAGGCGGCGAAGCCTGGAGCTGGGCAGAGAAAGGACCAGGCGACACGCCCTGCCTGGCTTCCCAGCACCCCTCCTGAGAGCGCTGATGGCAGAGGAGTCTTCCCACCCCCACCACCCAGCTCACCGCCCGTCTTGGGGGAGGGGAGGTCAGCGTGGCAGCCGGCCGGGGGCGGGGGGAGGGGGAGACAGACGTCTTCCTTGCCGCCCAGCAGCCTCCCTGGGGGAAGCATCTCTGAAACCCGGGATGGCCCCAAGGCGGGAGGACCAGATTGAAGAGCGTGGACCCCTCTGACACCTGTAGGAAGGAGTGGGTCTCAGAGCATCTCTCCAGGGGCCTCTCACCTGGGGCTGCAGAGAGACCTCCTGGGCCTTGCCAGCTCACCTCAGGAAGAAGGTGGCTACTGGGGATGGGATTCCCAGCTCTAGCTCTGCAGACTGGTCCAGTTCACCTGATTTGGTGCCTATCTGTACTAGGGGCCAATGACACAAGCAACCTTAGGAGGACCTGATGGGCTCAGGGAACAGTGCTCACCTGGTGTGGGTACAAGTGGGTTGTGAAGTTCACATGGCAGTCTCCTGTGTTGCTGCTCATTCCCTGGGATGGATGGATCAGAGAAGGATGTCAGAAGGTCAGGTCCTAACAGGGGGATGGATCCTGGGACCAGGCTGGGTATTTCAGAACAAGATCAATTCAGCCAGCCAGCCCTGTGTCCTGGACTCTGAGCTTCTGATTTTTATAGAGTCCAGCTTCAGAGCTCACTATTTCCCATGCCTGAAAGGATTTCAGGAGTCTTTGCATCTCAGTGCTAATCTTACCTGGCCTGGAGCCCTGGGCTAGAAGCCTAATCAGGCAGCCTGGGAGTTGAATTCCTATCTGTGTTTCCTTGAGCAGATTTCCAGGCCTTTCTGAGTTTCTGTCTCTGTGCAATGGTTGTTTGAGGTTCTTGTACTCCTTTATGTTTCCCCAGTGCCTCTCAAAGGGCCTTGGCCCTAGGGTCTCAGGAAACATTTGTTTATTCTAAGTCTGAACATGCTTCAGTAAAGCACCAGGGCTTTGATGAGGAGAATATCTCTTGTGAGTTTGAGTGAAAACTCTGGACTCCCTCATAATCTCTGATAGGCTGAGGCCCCTGAGGAGCCAGGCCAACCCTCTCTGTTCCTAAATCACAGAAATGAGAGCTTAAGGCCTCAGAGATGGAGCTCCCACCTTGCATGTGTAGATTAGAGGTCTGAGGCACAGGGATGGGGAGGATTTGTGGAGAGTCCCACTGTGAGTTGCCAGCACTTCTGGGGCTGGAACCCCATCTCCTGTTCCCAATCATTAATATGTCATTGGGAATTAAGATGACCTTGAATCAGGGATACGAAGAATGGGGAAGTCTTCCTGAATCGAGGTCACTCTCTGGCCAGACTTGTGGCTGTGACCTGGTGGGAATGCTGGGCTATTTGGGTTGGGGGCAGGGTTTGTGGGCCCTTGGAACACAAGTCATTAGAGACAAATGCTCTGCCATCAGTGTGATTGGTTATTGGACCTGGTCCCTTCTGACTGGGAGCCCTAGGGCCCTGAGAAGCCTCCTCCTACTTGAGTGTGGAGTGGGTTGTATACCTTGTAGTCTTTTGGGGCCCCCGAGTTAGGTGGGGGACATATGCCTGAACCTGGGGGGGATTGGGGAACTGCCTTTGTAGACACTGCTTCTGTTTTGTCTGCACTTAAGTTTTGTGTGTGTTGGTCCTTTATGTCACTGCAGCCTGTGTATTGCAGGGAGCTTCTGAAGTCTGACCCTCCCTCTACCCTGGCTCTCCCTATGTGACCTTGAAGGTCCGTCACCTTCTGTACCTGGGACACATGGGCCAGCTGAGCTTGACCGAGCCTTCTAGAGCCACATGGGTCTGGATATAAGTGCTGACTTCCCTGGATAGAAGCCAGGGGAAGGGCCTGGAGGGATGTGGCCTTCTGATGTTTCTTGTGCCTGGTATAGTGGTGGCACCTCCCTAGGCTAGTAGGTAAAGATAGCTGGACTCCAAAAAGGTGTCCCTGAGCTGAAGCCCAGTGATACAGAGGACACCCTGAAATAGATAATCCCAGGAGGGCATGAAGCCTTCAGAAATACCAGGGCCTGGTTTGAGTGGGAAGCCTTTAAGGAACCACTCTAGAGAGAAAACCTCTAGCCTGTGAGAAGGCCCCCCTCCTGGCAGCAGAATGACTGCTGTCTCCTAGACCGTGGGATACAGTCTGGCTGGCTGGCAATGTCAGGCTAGCAGGGGTGGGATTGTGGAGAGGGCTGTGGACCCAGAATGAGGGGACTCCTTCCAGTAGGAAGGCTGTGCAGTCCTGCTGGTGTTCAGATGGCTGTCCCTGGGTCTGCTGGCCATGCTCTTGTGCTGATGGCAGTAGTAGGGCATGGTGATACCCATGGTGACACTTGATAACATCCAGACCAGATGGGCCGGTGTATGAGGAAGGAGAGGAGGCCTGGGGGACACATGTCTTCCTCCGAAGTTCTGATGGTGTTCTGTGGGGGGTTAGGCTTCCCTCAGTGCATGTGAATGTGTCGTGGGGACTAAGGATGTGGACAGACCTGCGGGTGTTGCGGCCCCTTCTGACCTCCCTTCCCTGAGACTCCTCCAGCCAAAGCAGAAAGATTGAGGGACCACCACAAGTTCGGTCTGGTTTTCCAGGCTGAGGCCACATGACTGCGTCTCCCTCTGACATGTGTCCTCCTTGTCCTGTCCCTGACAGTTGTGCTGCTGGAGGGGCCATCACAGGGAGCACAATGTGAATGGCGTCTCCAGAGTCGTGCAACACAGTGACTCTGCACATGGCTGCCTTTGGCCACGCAGTCATTTGTTCACTCATCCCTCTCTCCCTCCCCACCTCCTTCTCTCCCTTGCTCCTTCCATCATCCATTTATTCATTTAGTCAGGTCTTTGAGTATATCCCTGCCTCCCAGGACTTATGGTCCACTGGGGAGCGCAGACATCTGTGGCTGTAATTACAGTAAAGGTCTCGGCATGATCTGACAGGAAGAACAGCTGCCATGGAGGAGCCTGGCGGGGCGTCCCACCCACCTTTGTGGGCAGGTGTCAGAGATGGCCTCCAAGGCTTCAGAGGAGATGCTTCTGTAGGCAGCCAGCTGCTACTCCTTCGGTGGGCTGAGTGCAGGGAGTAGGTCTTACAAGAGGCCCACCCTCTCCAGGGGGCTCAGTCTGTCTTCTCCCTGCTGTGGAGAAAAAAGGGGTGGGGTGGGGAGCAGGAGGACGAGGGTGTCTGGCTTGTTAGTGCTGAGTGGGGGCTTTCCCGCATAGTCATCTCAGTCCTCTGCAGGTTAAGGAGTGGTCAGTCGTCTTCTCCCCCACCTCCCGCCCAGAGGATTCCCCCTGCCCCACCCAAGGCATGGCCCAGCCTGTCCATTACCATCCGCCACACACCATTCCTAATCACACAGGGAGCCCTTTGCTGGCCTGGGCGTTGTACCTGAGGCCCATCTCAGAAGTCTGCTCCCCGCCACCTCCCAGACCCGCTCGCTCTGCTGTGGCCAGCCCACCTGGGCACACACCGTGGCATAACTTTGGTTTCTTTCTGAGCATTTTAAAAAAACTATTACATCCTGCCCCATGACCTCTCTGTTGTCTCAGTCTCTCTGGATTTTCAAATGTTTATTAGCTTTCTTTCAGATACAAAACCTCTAACTGAATTTTAAGCCCCTTAAAGGTGAACTTAAACATCTAAGAGGACCAGGTCTTAGCTCCTTTCCCCTCTTCCCATCTGCAGAGGGTTTGTGCTCATTAAATATCTGCATTTAAAAATGATGAGATTATCCTCACTATGTGATAGGTAGTGATAGTCCATTAAAAGTGAGGGGAGTCAAGGCAGCTTTGAAACAGGATTCTTCATCCTGACACCTGCTGCTTTCTCAAGCCTAGAGATCTTTACTGGCAACACTTAATGAATCTTTCACTGGGGATTGGAGCATTTAGCCTTGGTTGTGCCCAATCCACAGTTCATCTCACAAAAGCTGAACTTCTCAGGGTATCCCCATCCCCACCACCTTCTCTAAAGAAATATGAGAAGGCAGCCAGACCGCCAAGGTGGGAAGGAAGGGACATGCCCAAACCAGAGGTTGCCAGAGTTCACTTGGAGATCTGGGGTAAATCACCAGGTGGTTCTGTGCTTCAGCTTTTTGGTCTTGTTTTCTCTCCTCCCAATTTTTTTCCTCCCCTCTTCAGTGGCTGGAATGATGGGG